ACACCCACCTCACCTACGAAGTGCTGTCAGACTGGAAGGTGCTCAACCCATCAGCCCCCAGCACTATGCTCAGGTAATTAGGCTGAGTGTTTGGGTGGACCTGCAAGTGTCACCTAAGTGCAGCAGCCACCTCGCTGTCAGGCTGCCCCTGGTCGCTTGGATCATGATCTGATGATGTGTGAACACAGAGGTGGCCAGAAATAAATAACAGAAGATGCCTCACTCCCCTGAGCACCGAGGCTCTCGTGCCAAGAAATATTCTCACTTCTTGCTGCTTCTTTTTGTGGTGGTTTTCCTGAGACTGAAAACGCTCCTCCACTGCAGAAAGATGCAAAAAAATTCCTGCTGACCTCAGCATTGAGTTTCATCTTTTTGAAGCTTTGTTGCGCCTCTAAGATAATTTATGAGGTGTCAGGATTTTCCGACCACAAATGTCTTGGACGAAAACCATTTTTACACTACAGATGCCATGAAAGAGAAGCAATTTCAGTCTGTTTTTTCTACAGCACTGTCTGTGTCCACAATGAAACACGGGTTCAGAGCTCCTGGAGATTATTTGTGTAAGAGTTGTCCAGGCCAGCGCTCCACTGAGACTCAGGCTGGGTTTGATTCCCCACCTTTGCCTCATTGCCCTGATCTTCTCTGTTGGGAGGGGAACTCCCATTTCCTGGTGCTGTGCCACGAAAACACGAGCTTGCCAAGTTATTCTCTGTATGTGTGTTTGTGTGTGTATGTGTTGAACAAGCCAGAAGTACGAGAAGTAAAAAGATCCATTAACAAACCGCATTTTTCAACATCCACAAGGATCCCCCCGCTTTCTCGTCTGTGGATTTCTCTTCCCCAGGCTTTACATTTTCAGAAAGGGAAGAAGGAAACCAACAGAAAAACACGAGAAGCCAGCTTAGCCGCCTCTAATCCAGTATGCACCTCAGTCTCCATGAAAGTGTTCTTGGGACGACAGCAGTATTTCCCTTGGCTGGGATGCCCAGCCTGCTGGCTCCTCTCGAGCTGCAGAGCTGCAGACATTCCGCTGAGTAGTTTGCAACCCTGCCTGCCAGGAAAACCCAATGGCTCCATGGAGAAATCTCAGCGGAGGAGCTTGATACTCAATCAGGGATGGAAAAGAAGGGAGTTTATGCCTCCCTGAGACCAATTCCTTCCCTAAAAAAATGTTAAAGCAAGAGGGAAAAAAAAAAAAAAAGGGGAAAGGGATCATATTTATACAGACATGGGCCCAGACACGCCAGTAGTGTTGGTGTGTGGCGTGTTCGTTTGTGTCAGGATGGGCCCAAGTCGTGGAGACTGAAGCCAAATGCCTGTTTAGGTCAGTGGGAGTCTATCAGCTTTGGATCAGGCCTACTTTTGGATCTGGAGCTGAACTTCCAAAAGTCTGGGCACGCTTGCATCTTCTGGTGAGGGGGGGCTTGTTTTTGGCCTGGTTTTGAGATAGGAACCAGCTGCAAATTGAGGCCTCCAAACGTGTTCTAGGAAGGAGGTTATAAAAGAGCCCCTTCTTGCCCAATGCATTTATTCCCTGTGGGCCAGATGCTGACATCTTCATTAACACTGAGCAGAGCCTCACTCCAAGAGCAGTTACATTGATTTGAATGGGGCTATTGAAGGACTCAGCAAGTACCTCATGTCAGCAAGGGTAGCACCATCTAAGGGTCACATCTGTTTGCTTCCTTGGCATAAATTAGTTTTTTCTCCTTCCTGCTATTAGCACACACTGCTACAGGAAAAGCACATTGGGTTCCTTTCTTCCTGGCACCTCTTAAGCAAAACGCTGGTTGCAGATTGCTCCTTACTGCAAATTACAGGAGCTCAGCTTGTAGGTCCAAGAGCTAGAAAAATCCTTCTGTGATAAAAGGAAGCTGTGATGAGGTCAGTTCCTTCCTGAGCATTTCTCTAAACACCTTTTGTCTGCTTTCCCTCCCAGACTGCAAAATAGTGCCCACACATGAAGGAAGAAGGACTCCACACCAGGACACCTCCCAGGCATGTGGCTGAGCTTTGTCACAGGTAGATTTGCACTGTGATGTTAATATGGATCACCAGAACTACTTGCACTACACCTCCCGAGAAACAAGGCTGCCTAAACAGTGTGGCTGTGACTGTAAGGACAGGCCAGCCAGTGCCAGAGTCTCTTTGCAGTTGTGAAGAACACTAAACATGCAGCTCCCACAGGCCAGCATGTGCAGAATAAAAGCATGTGAATTTTTCTAGTGTCAACAAGAGTCTGGTACCTGATAGCTGTGTGCAGTGCTGCTACAAACCCAAGCAATTCATATTTTCCTTACTGAAAAGGAGGGAGAAAATCCCCACCCTTGTAACAGTCAGCTCTCCTCACCATTACCATCAGTTAGCGTGGTTTTTTAACTGATTCTGTATGAAACTCCTCCTTTCCTGCCATTTTTTCTTGGACTTATTCTACACATTGCTCTCAGATATTATAAACAGGTAGTCTGCTGCTCTTCCAGCAGGCACTTCAGAGAATTTTATGTGAGCAGCAAATTCTCTGAATCCCTGGTCTCCCTCAGAAAACTGACTCAACATTGTAATGAGAGTGATGGACTGTTGTTTGTCAAGAGAGACCTTCTGGGAGAGGTTAAGAGGAGGATAACCTCTGCTCTTGGAGGTTCTACTCTGAATGGACTGATGAGCCAAAAACAGTTGCCAGTCCATGGAATTATAAGGTCTATAAGGGAACAGCTGAGTGCTGGAAAACTGCTGGCAGCAAAACTGGGATTATTGGTCATTTACAGGCTGGAAAGGAACACAGTGACAGGATGAGGAAGTTGGTGGAATACCTTGTTTGCACACATTTCACATGCAGGAATGATTTTTATGTGAGCAAAAGGTCTTCAGTGGATGGGTCCTACTTAAGACTTGAGATCTGTGCCCACTTCAGAGGATGTGGAGGGATGGGAGCCTGGTGTTAGTCCTGGCCTGATGTTCTCAGAGCCCAGAGACTTTGCAGTGCAGGTTCCGAGTGAGCTGGAGACTCATATACGTAAACACAGAGTGCTGGGGCACTTTTTGGAGATGCAGCGCAGGTTAAGCTGTTTTGTAAGATACAGCTAATAAAAGACCATTGGTGCCCCGAGGAGAAAGGAAGGGAATTGTATTATTATTATTACAAATGCAGCCAGTAAAGCATAAACAAAGCAACTTGCAGAAAACCAGACAAAGGAGGTTGCCGCAGAGTCAGCAGTTACAACTCAGGTTTCCTGTGTCCCAAACTAGCACTTGAACCATCTTCCCTCTCTGTGAGAGAGAACCAAGTATCAGAGAGCGGAGTGGATCTCTACATTTTCCTAGCCCAAGACAGAACCGTGTCCATTGTTGGGACTAGCCCCCTAGGAGGAATTATTTCTATTCAGTTTGTGTGTGTCACAGCCAGATAATGCACTGGGTGGTATTTCCCTCTCTTCCCCCAATCTTTCTCTTTTATGACCACATGACTTCACCCCCTGTGTGAGTGACAGTACCCATTAGACTAGACTCTGATGCAAAACAGCTGTGTGGAGAGAAGGGGAGGAAGGGAGTGGGGAACAGCAATTTAGAAAACAATTAAGAACATCAATTCCAATTCATTTGCTTGGCCAGGATAAGTAATTTCTAAGAGGTAACTTGATCTGCAGCGGGCTGAGATTAAAGGCGAACTCCATTATCTCTAGTTTACAGTCTGGAGGAATTTGTTTTAACTGGTTACCAAGGAGGCTGCATGGAAAAAAGAAAAAAAAGGAAAAAAGGAGAACCTTTGCCTAAAAATGTCTAAAAAATCCTCCTGATTTCTTCTTTTAAAGAGCGCTCATGAATTTATGAACTCTCTGAGAGTATGGTTGATTTGCAAGGCAGGAGGAACAGTTCAGCTTTTGGAAGCAGAATCCAGGCCTGCGAGAGCTTGGAGGTGCATTTTATCAAAACCAATTACGCCAGTTTACACTGCTGTTAAGATTTTGGTGTAGAGATGGACTAGAAACACGAGACAGAAGCAGCTGCAGCATTCTGCAGAGCGAACAGCAGCACGTGGAGGAGAACACAGCGGGCTGAGCACCACCAGGCAGCCCCAAGGGTTCTCCTTTGACACTGCTGCACTCTCTGCTGGGAAAGGCGATTCCCAGCACTGCTTTTCCACTCGGACACCTCTCAGAGGTGCTGTGAGACTCCAGGAGTAAATTCACCAACATCCCTAAGAGTATGAACCCAGGCATGCCAGAGCAAGGGCTTGTGACCCAAGAACACCAAGTGTTCTGTATTTCACACTGGCACACGAGATAACACCAAAAAGTGAGTATGTGATAGGAGAGCCACTGATTCTTTATCCCCCATTCCAGGACTCTCCCTTTCTAACTCTCCTCAGCCCTCAGCACTTTTCCGCAACCCTGTGTCTCAGTTTTTGCCCCAGCTCCTGCAGGCCTTGATCCTTCACTCTTGTTTTGCGAAATACAGCGCTGAAGTCAAGATCCCCTGCAACTCCAGACCATCCAAATGTTTCTCAGACCATCTGAGTTATCACTGGAAAACCTTGGTACTGGTCCTGAGCACTTGTCCCAAAAACTGCCACCACTGTGCTTGCAGGAACATAGGGGCCACACTGTGTCTCTGGATCTGATATGAGGAGCCCATGAGTGGGGTAAAAGCAGACATGGAAAAAACCAACTGTGAGCTGGCTCTAAGTTCAGGGTTGGCCTTGAATCTGAAATTCCCTGGCTGGACCCAAACTTTTACCTCTCTTGTGCAACTCTGTTTGTCTTAGGGATAAACCACATTTCTGCCATCATGAGACAGCCAGCCTGCACTTTATCCAGCTGCATCCCTGTTAGCCAGCAAAGGCTCTGGGGTGATGTAACCACCTCAGTGGAAATAGGAGCTGAAGAATGCGACGTGACAAATTTTCCTGGACCACCAAATAAATTAAAAAGTAGGCTCCCAGCCCAGAAAGGTTGCCCTCCCAAATAAACACGGCCCAGTCTCCCTTCCTCACACACACTTACCTTCTTCCACACCAGGAAGCTGAGCTCCTCACAGACTCCATTACAGACCCAGAATGAACAGGTTCTTCCAGCCAGTCAGCATCTCCCAGATGGTAATTGCTCTGGTGTGGGCATCTGAGAACAAGACACAACTGTATATAACAGGAATATTCTCTTTGCAAAAACTTCTCAGTAGGCTTACTTTTGTCTTGTTGCCAGGAAATGTATTTGGGGCCTCTTGTTAACTTCACATTTCTCTGATGAGAGGGGCATGGGCAGTTTGTTGCAATAGTTACAGAGGAAAAAGCAATGAGAAGAAATGAGAAACTGGAAATCCCTCTCTATGCACATCACCTCTGTGACAGCACATGAGACTGCCCTACTCCACCATCCTTCTTGTGACAGACACACTTCCAAGGCTTGGAAAAAAAAGTGAGAAACCCATCTTGCGAACGGGCTTCTCCAGAGCAGGGAACGTGGCAGTCGATAACCTCACAACCTGAGACCATGTATGCAGCATAATGCAGTAAAGCCCAGGGTGAAAGAGGGGCCATTCCACAAGGAATGAGCAATGTGGGGAATCAGGAAATCATCCAAACCGGTTGGTTGGGTGGGGCAGGAATTTAGGAAAGCAAAAATAGAGTCAGCCAAATTTGAAGTGTGGCCAGGAAACGTGAGTTAACACCTTCCCTCTGCCAAGGAACACCACTAGGTCTGTAGTGATGGTGCATGGCCAGGGCCAGGCCTCACAATCTGCTCAAAAACCTGCAAGGTGGGACATGAACGTTCTGTGCCCAGTTCAGGTCAGGATTACTTTGAAGCATGAGACAGGGCACTTTGCTTCCCTCAGCCCCAGCTTGGGTGTGTGCACAGCTCCCTGGGTGAGTATTTGCCTCCCTCCTGGGCCTCAGTAACACTTTTTAAAGCACCTGGTTCTCTTAAGAGGCAACGTGACCAAGACAGTGCAAAGTGCTTTATTTTTGTCCTGGAGAAAGCATCCTCCTCAGAGTCTCTCACTCATTAGGACAGCAGCCGTTGTAATCCAAGCTCCTTTGATGGAAGGGGTAAGTGGGGAGATTGCCAAAGGGAGGATTAGCTGATGGATGTCTTGAGCTGCAAGGGTGTCTCATATGGATTTGTGCAGGATTTTCACCTCAGCTGTCCTGGCTGGAACTCCTGTCCTACCATACCAAGAGACTCTCCTTGCAGGCCCTGCTCTGCTTCCAGCAGCAGTGAGGCCCTGCAGGTCTCATGCTGTCATTGTCAGCTCCCTTGTGAAGGAAAGGTGCACAGCATGCCAAGAAAACATAGCCCTAGCCTATGAAAAACGTACCTGTAGTCCACACAAGGAAGGAGCAGCTTTGTCCGGAGGCAGGATTGATTCAGGAGGGATTCCCAACTTGGCTACTCAGTGACGTGATGCTCTGGACCATTGTTTTCCCTCCCACACTTTTGCTTCTCTCTGCACTGCACCCTTTGAGACCTGTGAATGAAAGTGCTGTAAGCTGCTTTGTGCTTTTAGGCCTAACCTTAAGTAAAGCCATTTAGAAGGCACAGTTCCAAGTCATATTCCTCGACCATGTGATAGGCAGCAGGTTTCTTGCTATTCTCCAGGCAAAAGGAGTAGCACAATCCCTGGTTTTCCCTTATCTGTGACTCTGCCTCTTCCTCACCTTTGTCTTGATCTTTGTTTTCTGCCAGCCGCTGTGCTTCCATGGATACATCAGGTTGTTTGTGTGCACTCTCTGTTAGGGGTCAGAAAGGAAGGACAATCTGCAAAGGCCAGTTAGATCCACTTCTGCGTTCTCGAGTTATGTGAGAATTTTCATTTTGAAAGAGAAATTTTCTAATCCTCCACAGTGGAATTAAGCCTTAAAGGGTATTAACTGAAACCACAAGATGATTATTTCCTAAAATGTCATTATTTGAAAACCGCTATTACAATGGGGTGTTTGAGGATGAAAATAGTCCAGCCTGTCAACTCTCCTGCTTCCTACACCACCACTTTTGCATTTCACACATGCCCAGCATGAGGCCACGTCTTCTTTCTGGCTCCTGCTCCCAGGAGCCAGAGGCTGTTCTGTCCAGTCTTGAGAGCCAGGCAGGGCACAAAGCTGGACAGGAGAGAGGCACTCCGTGCTGCTGTGTGCTGCCAGCTGCCCCACAGGTTCTCTGTCCCACAGGATTACAAACCCATCCATGGGCGGGTGTCCACTCTTTTGTTACAAGACCCAGTAGAGCAGGATATAAAACTGCTTGTAATGTTATTATTTAGATGTTCCCTTGGGTTGTTTTTAGCAGAAATGTGAGTTGCTTGTTTTCCAGCAGAGGATCAGTTACAAAAACAACACCCAGGAGAAAGGGTTTTTAGAGAGCAGGGGCTCTGTTTACCATGTTAATTTCAGGGAAAGTTATTTGGGAGGAGGGAGGAAGTAGTTAAATCCTTGTTTACCACGCTGGAACCCCAAATCCCAAACACACAAATAAGAGAGAAAATGGCTCAGTGGCCTGAGCGCAGGAGAGCTGGGTTTGTTCCCTGCTCTAACACAGACAACACTCTAAGGCCCCTCTTCCCTCATTTAACACTGGTCCCAGCTGAAGGCCAAATCACTCATCAGCAGTAGAAGACAGGATATTCCTAATGTCAGATTTATCCAATAGCACTGGGTGTACAGAACAGTCTTGCAGAGGTACTGGCCCTGCTTCCCTGATTACTAGGCAGCTGTAACAGCCCGCTGGACTAAGTAAGACAAAATGAATGTATTCTGCTTTTTGGGATTCCCATAGATGCAATGAAGCTACCTAGTCCTTCTCTAGCTGCCAGTGGGGTGGAAAGGATCCATGTACATTAATTATTACAGCCTGCTCTGATGCTGAAATGCTGGAGGACATAAAAGCCGGACTGTAAGCAGATATATCTACCTGAGAAGGCAGTAATGAAAAGTAGTCCACTGGTTCCCAACTTCTTTCTGTTTGGTACATGCACCCGTCCTGGCAGTTGTGTGGACGGTTTGGATCACCACGACGTGCTCAGCCATCTTTTGTCAGGTGGTGTTTCTGTCCTTGTTGTAGAGATTGCAGTCTGTGGATGGAGACAGGATAAAGCTGCCTGTGCTGGAAGAGCCCAGAAAAAGAGATAATTAGTTCCCGGTCTCATCTACATTAGGGCCAAGGCAGGGTTTGCTCTGCCTATGGAGATCAGAATTGCTGCCTGCTGCGAACTGAAGGCATTACCAGACATCAGCTGGGGATCTACAAGTCTGAGGAGAGCAGAGAATCCTACCTGAGCAGTGACATGACTTGGATTAGGGTGAGAACGTACTCTCTGCTCAGGGTCCTTCTGCCTTGGCACCCAGGCAGTCAGGGATGAAACACAGGCTATAATCACAGGCTGTGAGCAGTGTGATTATGGCAGAGTGGCTCTACAGACACCATCCAACAGGAGCCTCCTCAAGGGCCCTCATTTTGCCTTTGCTAAGTGGTCAGGGCTTCCTCCCTCACCAAATCAAGGCAGCCCAAATACGGTTCCTCTGGGAACTTTAATGTTTTACTGAATCACTTAGTTTCTCTTGATGAGTGCTGCTTCAGAGTCTCAGTTGCCTGGATCCCAGTGGGGATTTTGTTGATGGGGGTTTATTGACTTCTTGTTACCTTGAAGTTTCTGCAGTGCTGGGAGTAACAGGTAACTCCTGGAGTCTGTTTATTTTATGGGTTGGATTTTTAAGAGTTGGCCAATGGTACCCTCATTTTAGGAGAAGTCACTTGTTTATTTAGCAATGCACTCACATACTGATCCATAAATAAAACCAGAGTGTTATTTAATAAGACCCAACAGAAGGTCAGCCCTGGTTCACTGGTAAACTGATCAATCCAGAGTGTAAAAAGCACACCCCTTGGGAAACTCATCATGTCTATCTGAGGGAGGTACCAGCCAAATACCAGTGTGATTTTGTACTCCACAGAGTTCTCAGGAGTTTCAGTCCCCGTACCTTCTGAAAGGAAAATTCTAAAAGATCCAAGATGGAGTTATTGCCAACAACCTTCACTTTGGACCTCTGAAGAGGCTTTCAGAGTTGTAAGATTTTTACATCTTGGGCTGCAGTTCCGAGTTCTGCATCTGTGGGAGAAAGAACACAAGGCACTGAAGACAGCAGGTCCAGGAATTCCTACACACTGGAGCTAAAATTCATCTCCCCTCCTTTAAACACCTAAGTATTACTTGTCTGGTCCTAAGACAGTCCTGCAGGCTTCTTCTACAGTTGAGTATGTGGGCTAACCATTGCAGGAGGGAAGAAGCCTTCTGGGAGGAACTGCTCTCTCCCCACTGACAATCATGGGAAGTCTTGACAATTATCTTAAGCTCAGACAAGTATCTCTGAGATGTCCAAATTAGGCAAGAAGCATCTCAGCCCCGAAGTGCCCTGTGATCATGTGCAGCCAGAGAGAAGGGAGCCACAAGGTCCTTAGGTCATTTAGACGATCCTGTGTAGCACATTACAAAATCCTCACATGACTAAGAGGCTTAAGATACAAGCAGCATTAATTCAAAGAGGCTGGGATGGATCTGAGAGGGTTTTACAAGCAAGACATGTCAGGTGTCACCCAAGGGATTTGCCACGGAGTCCTGGGTTGGAGCCAGGTTGAGCAGATGACATCCAGTGCTGATCCAGCAACAGTTCCCTTGGCAAACAGTTTCTTTGTGTGGCTGAGGATCCAGATCACACAGCTGTCCCTGTTCCACTGCAGCAGATGCCCTGTGAAAAGCTAGCAAGGCACACATACTCCACGGCCCACGGGTCACCTTGGCCCATACAAACTGCACATATTCCACATGTATGTGTAGACACATGTAAAACAGTTAACCACGTATGTGCACCCAGAGGGGAGTCTTCCAAACTAAGGTTTTGAACCTAGACCTGTGATTTTTGACTTGATGATGCTGTGTGTTATTCTGTCATTGCAGGAGTGTGGGAGGACCTGCACGCTGCAGTGTTGCCCCAACAGCCACGGCAGCAGGAACTGAAGCTGCTCCCAGCGGTGTCAGGCTGCACCTGCACACAGAAGGCTGCTCAGAAAGCGCTGGCTACCACTTGGCAGAGCCGTGGTAGCACTTGTGGCATGTGTGACACCGTGAATCTCTGCTACAGAACTGGAAGTGGCAGCCTCTGAATCAGGATTTTACGTTCACAGGGCCTTGGCAGAGGTTAAGGGAGAGGGGCACAATCAGGCATAATGTACCTACAAATCAGTTCAAGTCCCCGTCAAGTGGCACAGTCGAATGGAGCTTTCAGGAGGACTTATTTATTGCTTGGATCTTTAATACACCTGTTTAGAATGGGATGAATGTGTGGACCTGCCACGTCTCCTGCAAAGGGCCAGTTCTTCTCCACTGACTGCAAAGAGAGCCTAGACAATTACCTTAGATGAGCCATCTACATTTAGGTGTCCTAAATCAAGGGAGATTATTTGTACCAAAGATGCCTACATCCCCCTGCAGGGTTTGCAAAGACATGCGAGTGGTAAACTTTGACTGAATTGGCCAAATGCTTCAGAAATGCCCATCCCCACTGGCAGGCACTTAATCCGGTCTCCTGGAAAATTCTGAAAATGCAGTTTTGTGTGAAGCTGAGGTTCCTGCACATGAGACCTTCGCAGACTTACAGGCATCCAAAGACACCAGCAGGTATCTGCTAAACCATAGTGAATCTACAGGACTCCTGCATCTTCAAATGCCTCTACAAATCTTTGTCTCAGGAGCCTGAAATTACCAACAACAGGCTGAAATGCCTGCAAACTCAACATTTCATGGAAGAGGGATACAGGGGAGAGAGGCTTTTCACCAGTTTTCTGTCTTTATTTTTGCTGCAGGCACACACTGGGTTGCTCTTCCAATGCTTTGGAAGGACCAGAAGCTGTTTATGTTCATGAGCCCTCTCTGGACAACATTCCACGCTGGCCTGGTAAGCAGGCTAACCATGACTGTGCTGTTTCAATCTGCTCCAAGCACAACCAGCACCAGTTTATGTCTGCCTGAAAAACATTCTGTAGTTCCTTTAGTGGCCTGGTTTGTACAGGTGTTAATCACTCACAGCCACCACTTGGTAATGCTGCCCAGATCACCCTTCTGTGCCTCCGTTTCCTTATCCTGAACAAAATGAAAACCATGTTTCAAGGCCTAGGGATGGATAGTGTGATATAAATATTGCTATTTATGGTGTTGATGAGAACGTGAGCTTTGTTTGGTGCAATGGCCTGGAAGTGCCTACCTGACATCATTTGGAAAAGACAGGTATTAACCTCTACGTCTGAAATACAGCATGTTGATATTGCTCTCAGACAAACAGAATTACCTCCTCTTAAAATCAAAGGTAATCTGTTTTACTTCAGCAAGATGTGGTGATGTCCACAGAGAACAAATCACTTTTGGCAAGTGGAGGCAGGGTTTTTTTGGCTAGTAGGAAGGGGCATCAAAGGAAGAGAAGAAGGATGGGATGCAGCACCACTGGTTTTAATTACATGTAAGAGTCAAGTTCCTCTAGACAGCCCTACTGGCTGATATGCCATTGTAAGTGCTCTAGGGAGCCTGGATTAAGAGAATGGGAAAAACAAGTGGATGGCACAAAGGTACTCAGGGCATTCAGTGGAATGACTGGCAAAGCCTTTGCCAGCTGGCATGAGGCAGGGAAATATTGCTCCCATGAATGTAGTGTCCTGCTGCTCTGACTCTGATTTTTAGTGGGTGTTTGGTTATCCAAGTTCATGCCTTCTTCCAGTTTTCATCTGCTCAGATCACACTGAATTCCTGTTTAACAGTGAAGATGCTGAATTGGTCGTAACAGGGATGCACTGTCATTGCACAGCCCCTGGAGAGAGAGGAGGCTCTTGTGTCAGTCCATTTGGAATGCCTGAGTTGCCTCAGGAACATAAACAGCTTGAGCTTTGGTGGTTGCTGGAGCTGCACGGCTGGGATGGCTCCTCAGAATGCTGGAACTGCTTCCCTACATTTTGCTGGGTTGCAGTAGCATTTGGGGGCTGCATCTCTTTTGCAGGGAGGCTTTAGTCATTAACAAAGGTAAGCAGGAGCAATGGACCTGACCTGGGGCCACCATGTGGTGGCACAGCAGAATCAGGATTTACTGTGCTTTGGCCAAGCTTTTGCTTGAGTAGTGGTGGCCTGGGAGAAAAGTCTGACTGAAGGACAGATTGGGTACTTCCCTCATCACCTGCTGGTGGAGGATGAGCACTTGAGCTTGAAGGACCTTCAGTGTTCTGTGAACCTTGTCTCAGACAGGGGCTTGATCTTGGGTTAAATTTCTGGTGACACCAAGATCGGGAACAAGTCTTAAATGAGCACCAAGCAAATGGGACTGAAACTCCCTCTGCAATCAGATGATCATTCTTTAAATCAATGGTTTAAATAGCCTGGAAGTTGAGGCAGAGCATCAAAAAGTGACTGATACATAGGTGATTTCTAAGCAAGATCTTCTCTTTGAAATTTGTGAATCATTTTTATATACTATGGTAAAGTGCAGAGAGCCCGAACTTCTAAGGCAAGAATGGCTCTTATCCAAATTAAAGAAAATTTAAGGATGGCCCAAGCTAGTTGACTTGGAGTTGTTGAATTAAAATATAGCTTGGAAAAGGAGGAAATCAAAATATTATTCAGTCTGCAGCAATCTCATGCATTTAAGCTCCTGAAGGGCTTGTGTTTCTTTACTCTTGAGGTTCATTATGTCACCAGAAAAGCTTTACTATTTCACTGTGGAAGCAACGCAGCCATGAAACATTAATTTCCAGGAATGTGGAAACCATGAAATATGGGTTTTTCTACTAAATTAAGATTTTACTTTTTTCTCACATAGTTAAGGGAACCAATTTTCATTATATGTTCACGTATATGCATTCTGGAAATTCAAATAGGAAAGATATACAAAACACAGGAAGAACATTTTCACCCTGAAAAATGTATTTCACTGGTAACCACACCAGTCATTTATATTCTGCTTTTCATCCTAAACCACTTTGACTTCTATATCCATCTTGGAACCACGTCTCTCATTACTGAACCGCACCCATTCTGGTGTGCACATGACCAGCTGATGTGTTCTGCCCTGTGAGATGTGGCAGCTGTTTAGATCTGTATAAAATTCTTTACTCCCCTATTTCCACAATGCTGTTCTCTCACCATTGCAGGGACCAGCACCACTCAGGAATGCCTGGCACAGACACTGTACAAGGATCTCCTGCAGTCCAAGTATTCTGCACCATGGCAGTTGCCTCTGGATGGAAGAAAAAAGGGTGAAGGACAAATTAATTTGTGATCCATGTAAAGGCCTTTTAAATATTCTCCTCTTACTGCTAACCACTGTTACTCATTTTAGGACTGATGCCTCTTTCCTGAAAAAACAGATGACCAAACCTGACAGAGCTCAAGAAGCGTTTGGACAGTGCTCTCAGGTACGTGGTGGGATTCCTGGGGGATTCCAGGAGTTGGACTTTGATGATCCTCATGGGTCACTTCCAACTCAGGATATTAATGATTCTAAGACTCCTTCAAGTATCTGCATGTACTCCTATGCACACAAAGTCCACATCAGTTTGTAGCAGCCCTGGCAGAATGAAAGCAGTGTAAGTGGCTTAAAGGGAACGTGAAGCCTTTAGTTTTTGGGGCCAGTTCCAGAATGCAAGTGTGCACCTAAGGTTTCTAACAATGTTAAATTTGTGTCCATTACCAGTTAAACAGAATGGAAGAATCAGCCAAAACATCCCAGAAGCATCTGTGTTATGGGTTTCTGGGCTCTAAGACACACCAGAATATTCACCAAATCACAGGGTGGTTTTCCTTAATGCTACAATTAGCAGTGGAACACAAACAGAAGAGTTACAGGCTAAGATTTGATGGCAGAAAGCCCTCTGCCATAAACTGGAAATTCTCAGCATGTGCAACCATATTGCTAGAGAAGATGACTTATGCAATTAAAATCAAAACTGGAGATCTGTTATCAAAGGATGGCTCTGTGTACTAAAATCCAGCGGAGAGGTTCCCTGATCTCGTTATCTTCAGGCTTCTTTTTTAGTTAATCTAACACAGCTGACAGTGTTTGACACAGCCAGTTGTGCCTGCAGTCATGTGAAGGATGTTTTGTAGAACTCCCTTCTATCAGAACACGGAGGTTTGATATTATGCAACTCTTTATAAAGTCTAAAAAGCTTTGCCTGAGTTGCATTTCAGGGGAGTAAGATGTGATAAAAATTCTGACAGTCAGAACAGTCCTCTCTAACATCACCATTAACTACTAAAATTTTGAACAAGCCTTAATAACATTTTAAGTGCAATTTATTTTAATACTTCTGTTCAAAAGAAACATATTATTTTGCCTGAATAAAAAAAAAAATATGAATCCACTTGGAAAACTGTGGTTGTGTGGTTTTCCTTCATAAAGAATTTCAAAATTCTCCCTCCCTGCCTCCACTCAGAACGACAAGAGAATTTCAAATTCTGAAGTTGTTTGCAAAATGAACTTCTTTCCTCCCACAGCATTTCCTGTGCCTGTGTGAAGAGGACAAGAGGTTTAATGTATAATTTCTGTGAGCCTTAAGGAGATGGGGTGCGTGTTAGTCCTTTCAAATCCAGGCTTATACAGCTGCTGTCTGAGTATAAATCACAGAAGCTTTTGGTTGCACTAACACCCTCTGCAGTTTAGCACAGCTGTTAATTAATACAATACTGTATTAGTTCTTCTTATAGTCTTACTATTAACGGCCCATGAAATCCCATTAGCTCTGCATATGGTGCCAGACTTGTTCCCAATGTGGGAAAGAAAGGCAGGCACAGTGGTATGAATAATAAAGAGAAGCTTTCAAGTGGTTTCCACTGTGAACATTTTGAAAAAAAAATATTTTCCAGAGTGTAATTTGTGGGGCGAGCTTTTCGCAAAATTTCAATGCAAACATGCATAGATTTGTCAGCTAAGTTCTCCCCCAGAGTGTGAAATCCCTTATGCACCACTATTGTTCTGTGGCAGAAACATCAGGAAGATGAAGTAGTGCCTAAAAAAGGAAAATTAACCAGGTTGGTTTATTGCCCAAATTGACAGAAATGAAAAAAAAAAATTAAATAAACTGCACAGCTGATGCCAAGAAAAAGATAAAACTTCCCTTAGATTTTTGGTTTAAATATTTTGAAGTACAGATAGTGAGAACAGTCAAAATTTGGGTTCAGTTTTCCAAGAAGTTATTTGAATTTCCTGCTGCAGTGATCCAACACACCCTTCTTAAATTCCAAGAAGATTTAAGTGCCATAGTAAAAGCCAGGCTTATTTGTTAACACCTTGTACAGAACACTCCAAATTGTATCAGCAACTACAGAAAATTCTTTTAATTCATTCACCTAATTATTTTCTATTGGTTAAGTTTCATCCAGTGTTGACTCCTTAATGAAAGAGAGATCCAACAAGGAGCTGTTAGGAAGGCTTTTAAAAATGGGAAGAATGATGAAGCAGGCAGGATTTAGAAGCAGACTATTCCCTGGAGAAGCTGACTCCATCGTAATTCTCTCCTGACCCTTTAGGAGTTGCTGCCCTAGAGCTGCAGCAGTAGCAGTGCACGGTTAGGAGTATTCCAGTAGATGCTTTCCTCCTTCCCAGTCCAGTGGTTCATCCACAGCCCAGTCTCTGCAGTCCCCCTGGGCAGTCAGGACTGGCCAGGGCCTTTCTGCATGGCCAGCATCCAGACAGGGACACACTGCTCGGGGAAGCCCTCCTGCCTCTCCTCTCGCAGGATGGTGAGTCCGCTCATTTCGATGAGGCTGTGCAGGATGTTCAGGTCTCGGATCACGCTGCTGTCCAGACAATCCAGGGTGCAGCCCTCCCTGGCTACATTGTCCTTGAGAATGATAACACCGTTATCCTTCAAGCCATTCTGGCACCGGATGAGAAACTCCAGGAGATCTTTATCTGTCAGATACCCTACAGATGAAAAGATGGAAAATAGATCACTGGTAACCATCCAGACCCGCCCTGCACACACCAGAATGGTGCCTTGATCTGAGTCTCCGCACCCTGTTCGTTGCAGAAGTTCTAGTCCTGACAGATTTAATAATGAAATCTTGGGCAAATCAATGAGATCAACAGATATAAACTCAAATCAAGATTTAGGAACCGTGTTAGTAGTAGCAGCAGATGTGGACAGAAGCCAGTGAGGAGAGTGGAGAAAATACTGGGTGCTGAAGGGTTCTTTAATCTGGTGGTTAAAGTCATAATAAGAATCAGTGGCAGGAATCTGGAGCCAAACAAATTCATATTGGGAATAAGTGACAACTGCTTAAGTGTAAGCAATTACCCATTGGAAACTACCACCAGAAGCGGTGTTTACCACCTCCTGAAGTCCTCAAAATCAAGTAGCTGAATTTCCCAAGATATGTTTTAATTGAACACAAACTACTGACTAAAGCTGAATACCTTTCAAGTGGAAGGAAAATGATAATTTCTATATGACATATAAACTTTCTTTTTTTAATTAAATAACTGCTTGGGCTCACATACTTATGCATGCATAAGACAAACCAAGACAGCAATGGCAAGATTCACTGAAGCTTTTAAACACTGATTTGGAACTTATTGACTTTTAGTGCAGTTTTCTAAGGAAATGAGATCTTCGAGGCATGGCTCTCTAGCACACAGTCCTGCTCTCGCTCCACCAAATGAACCTGTTGGCATATTTCAGCCAAATTCAAGATGGGGTAGAAGTTTGATTAATAATATAGGTAACTTCTATTTCCTTGAAACTGATGGAGAAAGAAGATTTAGATATGTGTCTATGCCAAAGAAAAGGCACACACTGCCTTGGACAGCAGCCACAAAGCTGACCAGCAGAGCGTGGGACAGGTCTGAGCTCATTCATCCTCATGTTGCCTCAGATTCGCTCAAAAGATGAGGCAGGAGCTACATTTACTGCAATGACTCGTTATTCCAGAAAAGCAAAAACACAAAGCAAAACGAAACTGGTTTGCTTGTACAGCTGTAAAGGCTTGTTCTAAGGACCTCAATTTTATTACTCTTTAAGACTGTGTGAAAAGGACAAGTAAGTGTTCCTGAATAAAACTATCTCCTGTGCTAATCTCTCTACCTTTATCTTTCATTTTGCCTAGCAAGAAACTGTCTCCAGTGTTTTGGATAAAAGGAGCTGTTCAGACCTCCTCTTATGCTTTAAAATAATTTAAAATAATGCCTTCTGCCAGCTGCAAATGCGCCATGGACACAGGTTAACAGACAAGAAGAAAACCTTCTTTCTGCAGCAAGTTTTCTAGAAGAAATGATTTTGTTTCTTAGGCATGTAAGAAACATGGTCCACATTATCTGATAGCCAGCCTGTTGCTCTAAATGCTGCAGGATGTTCACTGCAGGAGAAGCAGTAGATATTTCTTATAGGAGGGTGTGCTGTGGGACGTAGCTAAGGGAACCTGTTTAATAAGTATCAGTGCATGTATAAGACATCATCTGATTTACAGGCATTGGTGCATCTGTCTGCAGCAAGGGCAAGTAAGAAGCAGGATTCCTGCTCAAGAAAACCCATATACAAGGCCTCCTCCTCAGCTGCACCTCAGCATGCAGGCTGCTTTCCAGGAACAGGTACCTTCCTCCGGTCCATGACCTGAAAAAAACAACCTAATCTGTACCCACTGTGCACGTGGCTTGGGAGGACTCTCAGAAGCCACTTGTGATATTTTAGGAAGCAGTCCCAACGGTCTGAGAACCTCCCTTTACAGCTGCACCATTCTTGAGCATAAACTTGAGCACAGGCTGTATATTCTCTGAGATGTAGGGCTGGGTGAACGATGCCGAACTAACCTGAAACCCACTGAATCCAGATGACGTCGTATCTCTGTGGGGCCGGAGTGAATTCCTGGAGGCTTTTGCAATAATACATCTCTACTCTGTCCCCCTTGCCCTGCAGGTAGTTCGGGACCTCGGCCAGGAAATTCTCCATCATATCCACCAGCTCCACGCTCTTGAACACCGGCAGCAGGACGTGCTTGCTGATCCGGCCTATCCCAGAGCCGCAGTCCAGCGCGCGGTTGGTGCCGGCCTTCCCCACCCCCTGCGGGACACAAGAAAAGAATCTGAAATCTGAAAAATGCCACACCTGAGAGATCACAGTGATGTGTTATCCCCTATGGCCCCGAGCCCACCAAATCTAGTGTCTTGTCTCCTCATTTCTGCAGAACTGTTGCAAGATTAGTAAGGATCAATCCACCCCTGGGTACCGCTGTGTGAGCCCGGCTGGGCTGCCACATTCCCAGGCTGCTGCTGAGGGGATTTCCTTACTGGATTTACTGCTGTGCAGTAAGTTTTTGCTTGGAACAAGAAGGGAAAAAGTCTTTCAGAAGCTCCTAGCATTCTCAGAAGATCCACTGCTCCTTGTAAAGTCCTTGCAACTTCA